AGCTCTATTTTACGCTCGGCACACAAAGCGGGAGCATGTACAATGACTATAGTCGCACAATTTTTGCAGGGACAACGTGAACATTTGAAAACACATTTACATGTATGGCTGTAGCTGAGTGTGCAAAGACGCTTGATATAATTGGGTGCTGCCAAGAGGGTCCGGGTTCAATTACCATCGGACGGAACATAAAGCTAATTTTTTTTCTACTTAATTATAATTTCGTATAACGAAAAAGCAAATGTGTACTTCACAACGACTTATTTTACAACGTACACTGAAAAAAAAAACGCGTTGTAAGAATAAAAATTTTTTATTTGATTACCGTTTAAAAATGTTCGTTTTTAAATCAAGTGAGAAGTCTTAACAAAATTTATTTTTTCATTATACATACACTACGTATAATGGAAATATTCAAATCAAATACGCCCGTATTAAAATGAAGCATTTTCAATGCACGGATTCTTGTTCATATGTAATTAAGACAGCATATGTATACAAAGCATGCAAAGCGGTGACAACACATACATACATACATATGTACATACATGGTACAACATCATGCACTAATCGCGCGCTGTGATGTTGATTCAAACTCAACATTTGAAAACGCATTTGCTTGTATGGCTGTAGCTGAGTGTGCAAAGACGCTTGATACAATTGGTTGCTACCACGAGCGTCCGGGACGGAACGTAAGATTCAGTTTTTTTCTTTTTAATTTTAATTTCGTATAACGAAAATGCTTCTGTGCACTTCGCACCGACATATTTTATAACGTACATACTCAAATTTAAAACGAGTTGGGTTGGTGCTCTTTCATATGCGTATTTTTTAAATTTAGCACGTTTTTTTTTTTAATTCTAAAATTTTTTCCCTCAGTGTACACACTCAAATTTAAAACGAGTTGGGTTGGTGTTATTTCGTATGCGTATTTTTTTAAATTTAGCAGGATTTTTTTTAATTTTAATTTTTTTTCCCGTCAGTGTAGGTATCCTCGAATGTCTACAAATACAACTATGGAGGAATGTACCCAAATGTTTCTGTAAATGTTGCTCGCTTGGAACTTTCTATAGGATTCAATATTAGAGCACAAATGTATGTATGTATGCAAACAATCTTTCTAATTTGGTACATTCAATCCAAATGTAATTCATATGTATTTTAGTCGTTTATATAAACAGATTATTCAAAAAGATTTTAGGGAAAATAAATCACACTAGAATCGAATATCATGAACACAATTTCCTTGTTGAGGAGCAAAGTAAAAACTAATATCACAATCCAAATTTACACACATACATATGTATGCTATTATAGAGCGCACAAGACGCAGCGTTAAAATTTATCAAAACTCCTCACTCACGACCTATGGCCAACTCTCTGCATGTCAGTCAATATGATCCAGCTGTTATTCATCACCACCTCCTTCTTCATCCTCGTCGAATTCGCCTTCCTCATCGGCGGTCGCTTCTTGATACTGTTGGTATTCGGAAACTAAATCATTCATGTTGCTTTCGGCCTCGGTGAACTCCATCTCGTCCATGCCCTCTCCGGTGTACCAATGCAAGAAAGCTTTGCGTCTAAACATTGCCGTGAATTGTTCGGAAACTCTTTTAAATAATTCCTGGATGGCTGTTGAGTTACCAATGAATGTGGCCGACATCTTTAGACCACGGGGAGGAATGTCACACACCGCGGTTTTGCAATTATTTGGAATCCATTCCACGAAAAAGCTGCTATTTTTTGTTTTGGATATTCAACATTTGCTCGTCAACCTCCTTCATAGACATACGACCCCTAAAGATAGCTGCCACAGTTAAGTAACGACCATGACGGGGATCACAAGCAGCCATCATATTCTTAGCGTCGAACATTTGTTGCGTTAGCTCTGGCACGGTAAGTGCACGATACTGCTGAGATCCACGAGATGTTAATGGTGCAAAACCAGGCATGAAGAAGTGCAAACGTGGAAATGGCACCATATTCACAGCCAACTTTCGAAGATCTGCGTTTAGCTGGCCAGGAAAGCGAAGGCAAGTAGTAACACCAGACATTGTAGCCGAAACCAAATGATTAAGATCGCCATATGTTGGTGTGGTTAGTTTGAGTGTGCGAAAGCAGATGTCATAAAGAGCTTCGTTGTCGATGCAATATGTTTCATCGGTATTTTCCACCAGCTGGTGCACACTGAGTGTGGCATTATAGGGCTCCACTACAGTATCAGACACTTTAGGTGAAGGTACAACTGAAAATGTGTTCATAATACGGTCGGGATACTCCTCCCGAATTTTCGAAATCAACAATGTGCCCATACCGGAACCGGTACCACCGCCAAGAGAATGCGTTAATTGAAATCCCTAGAGATTACAAGAAAAAACATGAAAGCAAGTGCAATTTAATGCTTATAGTGGGTAAGTATAATTCTTTTGCATTTAAAATACAAACCTGTAGGCAATCACATCCTTCAGACTCTTTCCTTACCACATCGAGAACTGAATCGACTAACTCAGCGCCTTCTGTGTAATGGCCTTTGGCCCAGTTGTTGCCCGCGCCAGATTGGCCGAACACAAAGTTATCTGGTCGGAAGATTTGCCCGAAGGCGCCAGAGCGTACCGAATCCATGGTGCCCGGTTCCAAGTCGACAAGAATGGCTCGAGGTACATATTTGGCACCTGTCGCCTCATTATAGTAGACGTTAATGCGTTCCAGCTGCAAGTCGCTATCGCCATAATAGGTACCAGTGGCATCGATGCAGTGTTCATCAGATATCACTTCCCAAAACTTTCCTCCAATCTGATTACCACATTGCCCGGCCTGAATATGTACAATTTCCCGCATATTTATTGGCGGCGCTAACTCCAACTATACACGGCCCTTAAATTACTTGATTTTTAGGATGGAGTGGGTGTAAAAACGTCGCTGTCGCTGCTGCTTATGTTAAGCCTTAATGTTTTCTTGAGCTCTAGTAAATACAGAGGCTCTTGTAGGTACGTTTGGTTTGAAAACGATAGTTCCAAAGATTTTTTTGCGAGAAAATCCCGACGGCCTCAACCAAACCCTTGCGACTTTTAATAATTGACCGTTTGGCAATTTAACACCAGATCAAGGCGTACTTCTCGTCGCTGTTATTGTGGACATGCAGAACACATTGGCGAAATCACAATAAGAGTATTTTTGCAATTTAAGAATCGAATTATTTAATACGCCTTCGCCTGACTGAAATCTTTTCGAAATATGTTTAATGTGAAAAAATCTGAAATATACGATTTTCTGAATGAATTCTCGGAGCAATGTTACTGCGACCACGGTACATGCACGAGAGTGAGAGTGTTTCGGACTCAAAGTAATCATTGCTTTGCTTGAGATCTTGCTCCAACTAATCTCTACATAAGTAATTCCAAATTCGTTATTTGCCATCTTACATTCCTCAAATTTTAATGTATTACATTTCTTATTTCTTTCCATACTATAGTAACATGAATGTATGTACATATATTACTGCATATGGGGAAAAGTGATTCCATTGACCTAGTCAGTTTCATACTAATTTCTAAGCTCCTTTATACATATAGGACAACGGGAATGCAACGCATTTCTTCTCTATTCTTACACTGAGAAAATAGTCAGCTAAATATATTTCTCTCAACAAAACATTTATAACCAAGATGTATTAAACAAGGTGTGATTGACAACTCAGGTAGGGTCTCTTTTAAGGTACTATTATGCCAAAAAATAAACAAGTGATTCAAAATTTATAAAAAAAATTTTCTATTTGACTTTTCTTCTAAGGGCGCGTATGAATCGGTAACAAAGTTCTGCCAATCTGCTGTGTGAAATGATTTATTTTTTGACAGCAGTAAATTTTTGATAACCGCAGTTTTATGCGGAATAAAATATTACAAATTGAAGTGAAATTAATATTTTAAGAAAACATCTACCATCGTTGATTGCAATTCATCAATTTAAGCTTTTATTTAACGAAAAATTGCACACATCAACAATCTTTGCGATTGTCAAAATTTTCTATGCATTTGTCAAAAATTTCACTAGCCTCACGAGCTACTGAAATTTTATTCACCTCATGGTTTTCAAAAATTTACTTTCCGCGAACTTTGTTACCGATTCACACACGCTCTAAGAGCAATATCAAATTCAATCACACTTTGTTGAATACATTTTGTTTGTAACCATGGTACAATAATTACAGGTATCATTGTTGCCCACATTAAAATGTTTACTGTTAGGGAAAAGGGATATTTCCATACCCCATATACCATATATGTTCACGTATTTAAAAAAAAAACCATCTTGCAAAAGCTAGAATAAACATTTGCTTGCAAATTAATTCAAAATTTGTATGGGGCACTTAATTTCAAACGTTTTTTCTTTTGTTTTGAAAAATTATAATAATCAAATTGAGCGAAAACAAAAAGCAAAGCCAAATAAAAGTAAAGAATCAACATTGAACTGCGTCAAAATGAAAATAAGGGAGCACGAATTTCAATGTGAAGCAAAACTCTCTGGGAAGACAATACCAGTAATTATTGTACCATGGTTACAAACCATGATAAAAACATAATGAGGTAAAACCATTGAGAGGCAGTCTGACGTTTGCCAACAATATAATTTTAAAATTCAAAACACAAACTCACACACACATTCTGATTTTCAATTTCAAACAACAACAATTGTGAACAATTTAATTTTTTTATTTTCAATTTTATATGATTTTAAAATGTCGAATTGAGAGAATGAATTTACCTTGTAATGTTTTTATCGTGATTACAGGCATGATAAAAACATTACAAGGTAAATTCATTCTCTCAATTCGTCGGCCATGATTTTGTTCTGACGTTTGCCAACATTTTAAAATCATATAAAATTGAAAATAAAAAAATTAAATTGTTCACAATTGTTGTTGTTTGAGATTGAAAATGAGAACGTGGGTGTGAGTTTGAGTTTTGAATTTTTAAATTATCCCAGTAGAAGTTTTATGCATACGACATCGCGGTTCGTGGCATGAACTTGCTGCTGTGTATATGTACATACGTGCCAGTATAAATGAACCTTCATTTCCATTTAACACGTGTGGTTTCTCAGAGCGTATGCGTACTCTAACCATACACTTGTACTACTGTTGTAAGTATATGGCTGTATTAATGTTTCAAACATACAAAAATGCATTAACGAAACAGTACTTACAAGATATTTATCCCCGTATGTAAATGCTAATTTTCTGATACAATTTAATATATGGTACATACGGTACAAACAAAAAAGTTACATTTACATATGCAAATACATATCTTGTAAAAGCCCGTTAGTGCTGATAATATTATAGCACAACACGTCCGTTCACTAAAATTTTTGTAAGTATGACAGTTTGAACTTTGTTCGAGTTTTTCTACAAGTAGCTTGCGGAACAAACCTATTGCTGGCAAACGTCAGACTGCCTCTCAATGATTTTACCTTGTTATGTTTTTATCATACTACATACTACATGTTCTAATTTCGGAAACTTTGTGGTTAAAAAAAAAAATATTTTATGGCAACCTACAACGTTTATCTCCTACACTTGGCAGAACCTTACAAGATATGCAGACAATCACAGCAACATTTTTTTCCCGTCGCCATGTTGGAGCCCATATGTATATCAAACTGACGCACGCTTCAGACTCAAAGTACTCTCAATAATATCAGTTGGCCGAAAGTCGGGATCAGCGAATGTCTCATGATTGAGGCACCTTGTACCGCCGAGGCATGTGCATGAACAGATTGATACGGTTTCATCGTACTCCGTTGTATAATTTGAATTAGCTAGCAATTTGCCATGCATATTGAAATTGCTTGATTCGACATCGTAGGCAATCGGTTGACTAGAGATAGCAGCAGCGGCAGCTGCGGCTTGCTGAGCATCCTGTTCGTTACGCTTGGCGTCTTCAGCTTGCCTAAAAATGAGTAATTATTCAAATCACACTATCAAAATATGTACATATATATAACTTATGTATTTCTATGATAGATACATATGTATCTGTACATATGCAGTCTGTAATGCGACACATGCAAGTACCCGTTGTGGATTATCGACACCATTGTCTCTATCACATAACGGCGGGCAAGTGTCGCTTTACAGATTGACCACTGATGTAGTGGCTTATGCGTACGAAACTGTTTGCCCATTACATTGTCATAAAGCGTAGCACCAGTAGATTGATACTGGCGGCGACTACTGCCAGTCCAAATAGTATAAACACCAAACTGAGCGCCACATAGCCGGGTTTATTGATCAGCGCCTGATCGTTTTGCAACGCCACATAGTCACCGAACCCGATGGTTGTGAGCGTCACAAAGCAGTAATAGAAACTGTCGAAATAACTCCAGCCCTCATAGCGCGAAAAGACTGCTGCGCCAGTGGTAATTATGATGGACGAAAGCATGCCTGTCGCTAACATAAGATTCATTTCTGTTGCCTCGGTTTGGGTGCAATGCATGTAGCGTTTTGCACGACGTATTATCACCGACGCGAATTTGTTTAGACGTTCTCCGATCGACTGAAACATGACGAGACCCAACGGAATACCCACCTGTAACGAAATTATTTGGACAAAATTTATCTTTGTACGTAAATTTTCTTCTTATGTATATCGAACACATTCTCTCGGTTTCATCTGGCCACTGTTTAATCAAGACCGAAATTAAATTAAGTAAAGTGTGTATAGCTATGCTATCGTCTCCGTAACCATAAGTAAGGCCAAGAGAACTAGATTAGCCTATCTACTTATGTATGTACATATAAAAACAAGAAACATGATGAGACACTAGAATTAATTTTTTTTTCACTGGTAAAATCTAAGAAATTTGTAGAATTATCAGTGAAACCTACCTAACAAATCATGGGAAAACTAAACAACTTTCTAGCTTTCTATTTAAGAAACAGTTTTACTTTTGCAAAATGTAGTTAGACTACTGAGCACATATTTAAATATCGCCTTACCCCTCCCTCCTAGATCAATATTCCACTCGGTGTGAGGAACACACAGCAGCTCTTGACCTTCCAAACCAGATGATCCATGTGTCAGACCAAAATATCGTCGGTGATACTGCAAAACGGCTGATGAAGATGAACGATTGCCAGACGCACCAGAGGTAATAAGTGACATAGCACGTTTTGCAGTATCACCGACGATATGCATATCGGTATCTGACCTCAGTAGTGTAATTACTGTCTTGACTGGTGTTACTTTCGGTTATGTTTTGACGTGCGAACATAAATGGACAATTGGATACTTTACTGCAGAACTCTACTGACGAAATCGTCCCCCACGATGCTGCCAGACTTCACGGCCAAACATTAACCAGTTCAGTACAAAATGCAAGAAGACCAAGGTAGGCATTCCCATTCCAGAATAGACTTAGAAAACTGGAATCTGATAAAAATAGAAAAGTCATCCATGCCAAAGACCGACAACTCAATTGGGCTTCTTCGAAGGAAACCGCCATAGATGACGATACTGATTCCCGTTAATTTTTTGTATCCGGAAGACGTTCGAAACTCATCACTGAAAATAATTTTTAACCGACTTCAACAAGGTGGAAGGTTAACAATTCATCTAAATATTTTTTTATGCACAAACATATTTTACTGGATAACTTTGTACCACTCGAACCGTTGCCGATTGTTCGGAAAGGGTGGTCCCATTCTAATTTCGTTTAGTTCCAATTATTGTGTCATGAAGAATTTAAGGGTACTCCTAAATTTTTATGAGCATTGAAGACGGTTGTATTTTCGCTTAAAAATAACCGTTAATATTTAGTCAAACAGAACATTTGAAAGCATACTTTGTATCCTTTTTCAAGTTAAGAATTTTCGTAAAAAATTTACAATATTTGACAGTTTAGACACCAGGTAATTTAAAAAAATCAAATCAGCTGCTCTACTATTACTACCTACTATTACTGCCTTGCGCCAGACGCAAAATATTAAATTATTAAAGGAGGTTTTCAATTCCTCGGCATGTACTATGGCTAACTTTGGCCCACGTGAACTGCTGTCGATGTTTTTTTATCTGAAAAGTACCTCATGGGTGGCCCCATACTAATTTAGTTTAGTTTCAATGAAGGGACTCTTAGAGTTTTCAATAGAAAGATTATGCCGAATATTTACGGGCCTTTGCGCCTTGCCTATGGTGAATACCGCCGAAGATGAAGTGTTGAGCAGTATGAGCTTTACAACGATACATGGTTGAGCCATGTCGTATGAATGAACAGAAACGCCACAGCTTTGAAAGTATTCGACGCGGGTCGCGATGTGGTTGCTCATGTCACGTGTCATTGAACAGTGAATTCGGAGTGGTACACAACCATTTTTAGGCTACAGTCTACACTGAATTGATGACTCTTCCGCCGTACCTTGGCACCTAATGGTTATTGTTTGATCACATACTAGATCATGGAAAGTCATTCGTAACCACCAATAATATCATTTTTTTATTTAGAGTATTCAGCATATTGTGTTCAATTGTGGATATAATTTAACAAAGAAAAGGCACGTGCAATTCACCGAGGCATAGATAAAAATTCTTTTAATAATGAGTCAACATGAACATCCAGATTGCGATGATATTGAGAAAAGCTAGCCCATTGTGCGATCGCCTGCGCCTTAATTGTTAAGCTACAAAGCAAGACTCCCCCTAGAAATGTTCCTTTTGTCATAAAAACGTGCCCTGCGAAAAATTTTTTTAATCGGACCACGGAAAGACGTACCTCGAAAGGCCCGAAAGTCCAGCATTTTCATGAATTTTTTCACAAAGTGGTCAAAATTTCATATATAAGTCAGTGGGAAATTTAATATATTTGAATGGCACTTGATGTAGTTTTGCCCCCCGATGTCAAATATGGCTAGCCTATTTTTAAACCTCCCCAACTTTTAAAGTATTGATTTTAGTTTTTTTTTGGGTTTTTGCGATTTGCAAGCTTATTTTGCATTTTTCGTAAAAAACGGTTATATACAAATTTGTAGAGAATTTAATTTCCCACATTTTTTAATATACAAACTTTATAAAAAAATTCATTTTTTATTATAAATAATTAACAAACCATGCGAAAAATTTTTGCACTGTCACGGTTTTCGCCATTTTTCAACAATTTCTGATAAAAAAGCGTGGAATATTGAAATGCCAAAGTTGTAGGGAACTTTTCTCTTTTAGTGTTGGGTTCGCCGGTGGCCTAAAATTTGTAAAGCAAAATCTAATTTAAGGTTGGTTTGGACGCCATGTTGAATTTTTCAAAAGGCCTCACGGCTTTTTCCCAAAAAAAAATCTCAATAACTTTAAAAATACTGCAACTATTTTTGACATCGGGGGACAAAACTAAATCAAGTGTCATTAAAATGTATAAAATTTCCCACTGACTTATAGGCAAAATATTGATTTTCCGCAGGTCACGGTTTTATGACCAAATGAAGCTTTCTGGGGCGAGTCTTGCTTGGTAGGACAAAGTTGCAAAACAAGGCGCAGTCTACTGCACATGCATGATGGTATTCATTGAATTATTTTGCAAAACTATAACTAAATAGGAGAGCGAAGGGTGTTATAGACCACATAAGGAAACATTTCTGTAGAAAAAAACGGAAATCTGAATTATTGCTCATTTTTAATCGATAAAACAGCCCACTAAAAATAAAAAAAAATTTTGGTACGGCAAATGTTAAAGCTGTTTTTGACAGATTTTTTTGTGGTGATTACACACACATATGCACAAAAAAATGGGGCCAAAGTATTAAAAAATCGCGGTTTTTGGCAATATTTTAGAAGCTCTAGCAAAGAAATAAAAGGTGATAGAACCTTCCTGGCTTAAATTAAACCTAGATCTCTCGACTACTCTCTCTGAAAAGAGATCTTAAATATTTGAGATCTTAAAATTTTTCTTTACCATTATTATCTTAAAACAATGACAGCAATTTTTTGCGCATATCCCGGGGGGGGGGGGGGGGGGGCGGTAGTTTAAGCCTTCCTTGCGGCCGGGCCTGAGAAAACCTATTTAATCTTGAACATTATTATTCTCATAAAAACAAGGGACTGTGAACAAAAGGTATGATCAAAAGTAAATGTTGTTATTGTAGTTTTGTTCACAAGAACGCTTCAAAATCCAAACCAAAATGGGAACAAACCTGTCGAGAACGTTCTTAATGGGAATTATATAAGAACAAAACCCTGTGGAACGTTCCCAAAGAA